AGGGTTTTGAAGATTATTGCATTTAGGGATTAGGGTTTGGCGTTTTATGGTTTAGGGTTAAACCGGATTCTCCGGAGGGGGGGCTGCGCCCCCCCGCCGGAGACGCCTCCCCCCCGCTAAGGAAAACATTTCTTTTCTGAAAAAGCAACGCGCGACAAACCCAACACAAGGCTGAATCATTACGTCAAATTTGGTTTCTTTTTTTTTCGGAACAAGAATTCCGCTCATCTGCATATCTTCTTTGTGGGATGGTGGTGGGCTTTGCTGCACTGCTGACGTCCTGACGATCCTGGCCTTACTTGCATTTCGATGGGCTCTTAAATGCTAGCTCAAAAATTCTAGATCAAACGCGCCCTGCTCTTCAGCATTGGCTTCCGCTTACTCGAACCTAACTGAAGACTCAAGTGCTATCCAACCTTAACGCTAAACCTCTCATCTTTTCTAATGTCAATGTTCATGACATTGAGCGCAAAGTCATATATACAGACAGCGCAAGGTCATATAAACAGTAGGCAAAGTCATATAAAGAGCGGCAAGGTCATAAAATCAATGGGCAAGGTCCGTCGGCTGACCCATGACCTTGCCCAATCTGTTTATGACCTTCCCTATCTATACGTGACTAGGCTTTTGCCCGCTCTTTGTATGGCCGCGCCCTCTCTTTACATGACCTTGGGCAAGGTCATACAAGGTCACATAAAGAGCGGGCAAGGTCCTTTAGTTTGTCCCCACCCCCCACTGTTCCCCCCTTGCCCTAGGGTTTCGGGTCCTCGGGTTAGGGTGAGGCAAAGGTTCAGGGCCTAGTGTTTAGGGCAGGATCTGGGTTGTGTGTGCCTGTGTTTGTGTGAAACATGTCAAAAACTTCTGTCATGGTATGGGATTAGTGAATGCTAAAACCGGCACCGGAGCGCGGGACGCACCGCAAATAGAAATCCCTGAACTGTGAATCGTAAACCTTGCTTTGTAGGCTCATCTTTTGCAATCTCTGCCCGCAAGCTGTGTACAGTACAAGGCAAGGCACGGAAAACCTTCTCTTTAGAAGGTCAGGTCATAAACGCCAAGCAAAGCCGCGGGAAAACATGCCTTGCAACTGCTCCTCGTGCGCGCGTTTCTGCCTCTGAATCATAGTTTCAAGTAAGCAGTCGTATTGCAAAGGACTATTCCGAAGAGCACGTACTGCTAGGTCTCAGCATTTAGCTCCTTCGGAGCAAATCCTTCCCTGGGCACCTGCTCCTTCTTGAAGGTCCGACCTTCGACAGACCAGAAATGTTTCAAGGTTGAATGAATCTAACAAGGATCCTTTTGGCTTGAAATCTACTGTGTCCAGGCCCCAACCCAGAATCAAAGTGCAACGTAGAAGTTTTCAAACCACCAATGTCACGAATTTCGTTCGCTCCCTGCTCGCAGCCTTCTCAACTGCTGGTTGCCTCCCAGAGTCCCGCGTGGGCTTCATATTGGCTTGCACATGCTTGCGCAAGCGCTTGAAGTTCAAGCCCGGCCTTAGTCTCCTCGAAGAACGTTGCAACATCCTTTTCTCCTCAGAAAATCTCAAGATGACGGAACGAACAATTTGAAGATGATGACGAAGCCGAAGCGCCTAGCAGCCTAGCAGCGCCTTTCCCCAATTTCAGGCCCGCGCTTTCTCTCCTCTTCTTCCATTTGCGCAAGTTCCTCGTCCTCGTTGTCCCCATACCTGAGCTCTTGAGGAGACGAGGAGACCCTCACAAAGTACTAGGGTTCGAGTGACTGGACATTCAGGCTGCGTACATGTGCACAACGAGCAGGCTGTGAGTTCCTGGGTAGGCCTTAATCCGAGCTCCTGTTTAATTTAACCCCCCATATTTAAAGAATTTTTTTTTTGCCCGGATTCCCGCCGGAAGACTACTTTCCATTACGATGGATTTCGTATGGGCCAAACCCTCCACATTTAAAGAAATTTTTTTGGGGGGGGTTGTCAAATTTTGAAACTCTGCCTTTCGAAAAGCTTTTTTCTTCTGCTAAGGCTGCACCTCTCGCCCTGGCTCTGCTGCAGGAGGAAGCTTATTGCTTTTTAATAGAGAAACCATACGGGGCCATGGTCCAACTATTGCGGAACCCTGCTTTCCTTATTGTGGGGGGGGGGGGGGGGCCCAAAAAATTAAACAGGAGCTCGGATTAGTTGATGCAAGCAAGGGGCTCCGAAATCTTGTCGACATCCACCACGTCATCCAAGGCCACGCGAACCTGTGAAAAATGGCTGATCGCACGCTTATCTTGATACCTTGTATCCTCGGCATGTCGCATGATGTCGCATGCCTCTCCCAACAAAGAGGCCACGTGTTCCGGCAGTCCCGCAAGGGGATTGGTGTCCTACAGCCAGGTGCATATGAATAAGGCCCCGTGAGCTCGAGGCAGCTCCGAGGCAGCCCTGTCCAGCCTTGAGAACGCTTTTCAGCAGGACCTTCTTCCTCAAGTTTCGTGACCGAGACGGTGCTACCAGCTGGTCATACACCTTCCAAAATGCAGAGTTCGTCCGAGCAAATTTGTGTTGCAACCGAGCCTTCTGATAGCTGACCCTGATGCCGTACTGCTGGTACCTCAAAAGTGCTTGGGCAGATGCGCGAGCTTGCCAGGTCCAGGTCACGGACCACAGATCATAAACGCGAAACCATACGAAAGGCAATGCAAACACTCCAAGGCCGGGACTCGGCCTCAAGTTGAGCCTGGTGCAAAGCTAAAGCGAGAGGCCCATATGATGACTCACTTTAGGCCACTCTTCCATGATTGAAACTGCCTGAATCTTGCGGGCCGACTTCTTCTTGAGGATGTGAATCTTCGACTCGTGTTTCGCCTGCGCTCGACTCTCATAATATCCAGACTGTGCTGCCCACAAACTGGCGCCTGATATTCCTCCATCGTGAGTTCGCCATCTCTTGGACCAAGGTTTCCCCACATCCTGGAACAAGTCAACATAGAGGAGGGCTCTCAGCCGGCACACACATGTCAGCTTTCTCTGCAGCTCCCACCCTCCATATCTCACCTACCTTACACGTGGACTCTGAGGATTCAGCTTCAGCGAGCTATACAAGCTTGTCCTGGAGCAGAGGGTGTATGTCAGGAATATTTCACGTGCATTAAATCAGTTGTTCTGTACTGGGTGCATCTGCGTGCGGTGGAGGCGCAGGACAACAGAAGCCAGCCCCCAAATGCCAAACCACGCGCCGCTCTCTGATGCCAGATCAGCCCACCTCTGGGCTCTGGAAGGAAAGAAAAAACGAGAAGAAAAAAATCAACGTGCAACACAGCGCATCTGGTGCAGCACTTTGACATTGACAGCAGCGAGCTAGAAGAAACAAGGACACTGAAGATGTCGCTAGATGTTCCTCTGAGCAATGGGCGGCATCACCTTTCAGCTGGGACTCCGGAAGAACACAGCAGAATGCAGTGAAATTTTGTAAAAATCAGAAGACATTGCTGACGCACACTGAGGGCGCCGGCTGGCTGCTTCAGCATGGCTTTGGCTTTCTCGCTGAGCTTGAACTTTAGGCGGACCTGCGCCTGGTTTCGCTCCTTGAAGCCGAGAGCCTAACGAGAGACTCAAGAAAACAAGAGCCCAAATTTGATCAACACTTTATTCCTCAAGCCCTTTAACAAACACCAGGTGGAAAGCAGGCCTTGGAGGAGACGCGTGCGCTCTCCACTTCAACATAGAAGGTTGAGATGGTGATGCTTCCAAAGGTGTCCTCCATCAAAAGCAACAGTGGCACGTGGCTTCAGCAACCCGATCCCGGAAGATGTCTCCCGGCATCAGTCTCACTTCCTTCACGTACAGAGGCATCACGGCCAGCGTCACGTCGATGGTGTAAACGACGCCAGTCCTCTTGCCACATCATGCTTGGAGGTCAGTCACGCAGCCAGCTTATGCAGAAACCAGAATTTTGATGCTAATACCAGATAGTATCAACAAACTACTACACTAGCTGGCAAAGACTATCAGCGTTGCAATGGTCATCAACGGCGGGCTGTGTGAGATCACCGCACGACTGGCCCGAGTCTCGTGGCTTCGGCTGCCAATCCAACAGCTTGCCAAATCCGCGAGACTGATTGTCGTTTGGCGTCCCCAGGCTCTGACTTCTAAAGTAGCATCGCCAGACCTTGGACCCGGCCCGAAAGAAAAGCCAACGCTAAAACTGCCGGGATGGAGATGCCCCTCCGCCCTTTTCAGTGCTTTTCGGCCAGGCTCGACGAGGGATCTTCTCAAGCGGCAGATTCTGCAGACCCCACGGTACAAAAGCTTTTGGCATTTTTGAAGCTGAAGCTTCGAAGAAGCCCCTGCGGGAGGCTTGGGCTTATCACAGGCGCTAGTCTGAAGACAGGATGGCAATGTCAGGTGCTGTAGACATAAGTCGGACAAGTCCGGAAGCAACAGTTGACGGCTTGCATACGCCAAGCCGAGAGGCTAGCAGGTTAGCTCTTCTTGGACTCTTGGTGCATTCCACCATGTTTCCAACGTTGCAAAGCGTGCTGACCCAAAAAGACCCGTGCTGGCAATAAGCCGAGGTATGCTGAGCTGCTTTCACAAATCTGGCTTCCGAGGCACGATGTGAACGCACATCCCTCTTAGATGTTTTATATAGGTTCAACACAAGGCAGTGGGTCAAAATTCGGGTTGTCGCGGGGGGTCCCCCGCCCCCTCTGTTACAAGCCTTGTCGCGGGCAGGTTGTTTCATACGTTTGTCGCGCCGCTAACCCAATTTTCTTATTTGGCTTCTGTAAGGGTTTAGGGTAAAGGGTTTAGGTTTAGGGCTGGGGTTTCGGATGAAGGGTTTAGGGACCGCAGGGATTTTACCGGAGAGCCATTAAACCCTGAACCCTGTATATAAATATAAACCCGGGCTTCTCGTTCAAGGTTGTCCTACGGATGGGCACCTGCTGGCTCGAGCAGTCGTGGGTTGTCGCGGGTATGTCGCGCCCTGTCACAGGCCTTGTCGCGGACTGAGAGTGAAAGTTGCTGCAGACACGCGTGAAGGTCGCATCGAGTTCGGCAATGAGAAAATTCAATGGTATTGTAGCCTTGTCGCGGGGGAGGGTTGTCGCGGGCGGGGCCCGTCTGTTACAAACCTTTGTCGCGGAGGGAGCCCCCGGCGCCTGTTACAAGCCCCAAAAAAAATTCACTCCCGACAAGAGCCTGTGCCTAGATGCATGTGGTCGCCGGGCCCTCTGGAACACTTTGCAGGAGGTGGGGGCTCTGGCCGCAGAGAAACACCGCCCAAGCAACATCCAAACACCTTTGCACTACCTTTTGTCGTGCCCGCATGTGGTCGCCGGGCCCTCTGGAACACTTTGCAGGAGGTGGGGGCTCTGGCCGCAGAGAAACACCGCCCAAGCAACATCCAAACACCTTTGCACTACCTTTTGTCGTGCCCGCGCTGCTTTAAGCATTCAAGGCAAGCCAATACATGCTAGCTGCTGTTGCATCCGCTTTAAGTTGCACGCTGTAGGGTCATGCTCTTGTCTCTGGCCGCAGTCACATCAGCCATGGCTTCCTGAACATCGGCTGGCTTAGAACTCAAGTCATCTGGACAGCTACAAAGCTAAAGTCTGTGACTCTGCCTCGAGGTCCACAAGGAATGGAAAAGCCGGTTGCTGATCCACCCCGTGCTCCATGCACGCGCTGCGGTGCTCCTCCCAGTAGGAGCGAACCTCAGCCGCAGCGGGCAAGCCAAACGTGCCGGGAGGGGTGGAAATTGAGGGGTCCGGCATTGCATTGGAGAACCTCGCGGAGAACCCTCTCTTCTCGGGACCTGCAGATCCATCCAGATGCTATCTCTGTACTGTCTATACTCTGCCTCTATTATTCTTGTAAAATCTTTTGAAGCATTCTCAATCCCTGGGGCAGCAGGCATCCTGAGACCCTGGCCACCAGCGTGGCCGGCCTCAAAAGGCATCAATTGCTCAAACAAAAAATATGGTATGTAACGTACCAGTATGTGCTGGTAGCATCACTGTCGTTCACTGCCGGCATGGGTCACTCATGGGTCACATCGTGCAAGTCAACGTTTCCAAGTGTTCCAAGACATATCACGTGCCTCTGCGGACCAGCTCAACGGTGCGATTGATGTCCATGTGAATCTCGATAGTAGGCCTGTACGTCCAGAACAGCTTCGAAGTCCAACACCCTGCTCCACAGCGTGACTTGCGGTTAAGCCGGGCTTGCGCTGGGATTGCACTAGGCACCGCGCTGAAATGTCGGACTGGAAGCTGGCAACTGTGAGAGTAGCACTCGAGTCTTCTCCAAAACCTTCTTATTGTCTCCTGTAAGGCGCCGGATGATAAATCCTGTGTGCGCCCTGTGCCTCTACATGCCTCTACACAGGTCTCCAACAGTCTGTGGAAGCTGCCATCCCATCATCCCCATCCTGAGTGCTCGCCTTTGTACAGGATTTTCCCCGTGTAAAGCACCTCAACTGGACATGGCGTCTTCTCGCCCCGGGCCGTGCAGAGCACTTGATCCTTAGCACGTGAGTCCTAAGCAGTCCTAGGCTTAAAGAAGTTCAAATCATAGCGCTGCGAAAACATCCGCGCAGCTGGCAGCCAGCACCAGCTAGCTGGGCTTGCCAGAAACCAAGCCAGCGGCATCAAGCAGTTGAACGTCTCCACCAGCTGGTGCATTCTTTGAGAATAGCTTCTCTGTGTCCTGTGCTCCCAAGCTATCGGGCCAGCCACGGCGCGAGCACAGGATGTTGCAAGGCACAGTTCCTCTGCAGTGGAGTCCCAGGTGAAATAGTAGCCTGGGGCATGTGCCAGAAACAGCGGCCAGTTGACTGTAGCAGCTCAACGTTGAATCCTGACAGGTAGCTGGTGAGTGTATCTAGCATCCATTCTGGCTTGTACAAAGACCCTTCTCTTCGCGACGCAGCTTGGATCCACTTCCCATTAAAAGGAATGGATATTGTTTTGCGCATCGTGCTTGATGCGAAGAGTTCCTGCAATGCACGGTCAGATCTTTCTGTACGTGGATGACACCTGGCTGCGCTGGCAGGCAGAGTCAGGCTAGAGTGATTCCCAGTCACGAGAGACATGCCGCAGTGTGTCCTGGTTGCAAGAGACACGATATTGATCCTTGTGTACGGCTTGCAGCGTCTTCAAGTCCTGCAGCTTGTTTCCTAGGCGAACGAACTGCTCATCCAGCCTAGCCCCGCGTCCTGGCAGGAGGTATTGACCCAAGCTTCCTCAGGAATGCCACAGCTGGCATCGAGATGCTTCCTGCCAGGCATTGCCAAGCACTGCAAGCGGCAAGCAACAGTGAAATCCTGCAGCAGCATCCTGCTGTGCAGCACCAGATGTACAGAAAAGTCTGCCAGGATGACATCTTCTCAGACGTGTAGGGATTTTGGCTTTCGGAGAAGTTCTTGCCGGAACGGGCCGCCTTGTCCTCGCGCGATGCTTCTTGACGTGTGAGAATGCAGCTTGTGTCAATACATGGGTCACCGCTAGTTCGAACACTCTGGCCTCTGCGCACGAGTTGAAGCTCTCATGGTTCATGTTTATTATCATGTTTATTTGTTGGCCTTGCCTTGCACAAGAGTTTTCCGAGTTACGGCTCAGAATCAACCTGCTTGCAGGGTTTGCAGGATGTCTGCAGATTCAGGGATTGCATAGCAGCATAGCAGCACGTCGAGGAATCATCTGAAGAAGCATGCTATGCGTGACAGCCGAACTCTCGGTGTTGAGAGACTCCAGCTGCAGGGCTTGAGTATCCCACTCAGGAGAGCTTTTGAAAGGATGCAGCCTCTTTGGTGACTATTTGTCCTTGAAAGATGCGATTGGAACTCATACTTCTTCGCTGAATCTTGTGTTCGCTCATTTCAGCGCAACAGCGTTGGTTTTTCTGCAGAATGCAAGGATGTCCCTCAGGTACTAAATTCAAAGGAGTGAGCAAGCCACGTGGGGCTGTATAACAACCCCGATGGAAACCTGCTGGTCCCCAAAAATGTTATCTTTTTTTTTCTTTACTCCTTATCGTTTTACAGTGTGTGCGCACATAACACAGTATTGTTGGCTAGAACTTTTATCGTTTTACAGCGTTTGCTTATAAAAGGAAATGCTTCGGAGCGCTTGGTTGGCTTGCATTCCAAAGCCTTGGATCTAGGGTGGCTTCAACATTGAGCCTACAGCCGTGGGCTTCAGGGTTAATAACGGGCGTCTTTAGGTCCCAGCGCAAGGAAGGCTCTTGGTTCAAACCCAAACCTGCGCGGAAACGCCAGCCACAGCGAGGTTTCTGAGGGCGCTTCACCCGGCGCGCAATTCAATCACCAGGCCCACAGAGACACCCCAAGACCAGAGTCACCACAGGGCACACATCTTCAACCCTGGAATGGTCCAGGTCCTTCAACAGACCCCATCGCGATTCTGGTTGTCGTTTTGCTATCGTTTTTGACCTAAAGAATAGGGGTGTGAGGGGTGTGAGGGGTGTGAGGGGTGTGAGGGGTGTGAGGGGTGTTAGGCGTGTAAGGGGCCACACAACTAAAACCCTGCAGAAAGTTATCGTTTTTCCTCCTTATCGTTTTACAAGCTAAACGATACTCGGGCGCACTCCTTTCTAAACCGCAAGCTGCAGGGTTATTATACAACCCCACGTGCATGTAATGCAGTATTTGGATATGAGAGAAAAGAGATGCCGAAATATATTTGACGGTTGTTCGAAATTGCTTCACGGCAAAACGACCATTCTTCGCGAAAAGCAATTTGTCTTTCGCGGGCCCATCGCGGACTTTCGCGGAGCCTATTTTACACCCGTATTAGTTTCAGCACAAACAGTACTAACACAAAACTTCGCGAAAGCGTGATTTGTCTTTCGCGGGCCCATCGCGGACTTTCGCAGACCCTCATTTCCATCATCTGATGGTCGCCCCAGTATAACTCGAAGACAAGGGGGGTTTTGAACAACCCTCATTTGACTATCGGTGCAAGTACATACGGGCATATTGAGGGTAGAAAGTGTAGAAAACGGTCAAAAGCCAGAAACTAAATAGAAATCCAAAGACAAAGAACATCTTTAATGTTGGTTTGTAAATGTCATGTCATTCGCAAAGCCGTTCTATTAACTTGGAGGAAAGACATCACCCATACATGTTGTCGCCGCGCAGAAGAAGTAAACAGTACTTCCAGAAATCCAGGTCTATGGATCGCGCATTGGATTGCACAACTATGTAGTAAGCAGAAAATATAGCTCTTCCAAGATGAAGAAAGACAAAAATCAAGACAAATGGTAGGCCAATATCATGAAGATAACATAACATAGCTAAAGAGGTCTGTCCGCATTGGCAATCGGTACTAGGGTGATCGCCGCATTGCGCTTTCTCTTTTGACATCCAGGATGATTGACGAGGCTGTGGTCCTCTTGCTACTGCGCCCATTTATCCCAGATGTTGCACGCGCTGGTTTCCTCTCTTAAAGCCTACAGTAGCTTGCTTGTCAATCATATCTGGATTGATTGTTGATAGACACAAGATCAGCGAAAACACTGCATCTAGTCCCCAATCGCCTTCATCACCGCTTCCAACCAATCAAAGGTCTCGCAGTCCATGACGGTCATTCGACGATCCTGACCCCGCTCCGAAAAGAAACGCCTAACAAGACTTAACAAGTCAAAGCGATCACAGGCTTGCCTTCGGGATGCGCCAACTTTTGAAGGCAATCATCTCCTCACTGCATCTCATCCGACACAGCTTAGGCCAAAGTTGGGGAGGCATTCCGTTCTGCATGACGTTGCTATGAATTTCTGTATGGAGCACGCTGTCCGGAGTGTTGAACAAAAAGTTGCCACCGAAGCCGTCTGCGAGCGCATCTCGCTGCCACATCTTCGCTACGGGATCCTGAGGCTTGGTCTGAAAATTGCAATAGCGTCGGCAGAGCAGACAGGAGCAGACGGTGATTCCAGCAGCAAACAGTCCACAACAGTCCTCCTCTAGCGCTCTCGTTGGGCACAACAATGCTGCCTCAACCTGCAAGGCAATCCGAGGCAAGCCGAGAGTGATGGCTGACGCCGGCCTGGGTCTCGTGAAACGTTACGGTTGGCAGATTCTGAAGTCGATTCTGATGTCTATTTGTAACATTTGGAAGCGACCGCCTTCTTGTGCACCGGCGTAATGAAAACTGCCAAGTCAATGTCAACCTCGGACATCGTTGCCCAAAGTGTACATGGAAAACTGGCGATGCTGTGCAACTACCGCTACCGCTTTGTGGCAACATCTCTTCTTCTCCCCTTAGAAAAAGGACTCAGTCATACCTGTATGATCCTGTATGCAGGATATACAGCCCTACGCTGTTGATGCAGTTGAGTCAAACACAAAACCCGACTTGAAAACTCTCACTTTTGACTGGTTTGCATTCTGTGTGCTCTGCGGTGTGATCGTGACCCTCCAGCAGCGCGTGCTGAACTTTCCTGTTGGGTCGCGGGACTTGAATTCCGGGGCCTCGAAAACCTCGCAAATATCGTGGGACTCGAATTCCGGGGCCTCGAAAACCTCGCAAATATCGTGGGACTCGAATTCCGGGATGTCGAAACCATCGCAGATATCGTGGGACTCGAATTCCGGGGCCTCCAAAACTTCGCAAATATCGCGGGACTCGAATTCCGGGATGTCGAAACCATGGCAAATATCGTG